TTCTATATTTTATATGTACTTATTTTCTCCTGATATACCCTACGACAAATGCCAGTACAAATTCCCACACTTTGGTGGGTCCTGCAAGATTATGATTATGATTTCTCCCTGCACTATTTCAGTACCCAAAATATTGCAATATTTCCCACTGGGTGTGTCTGTATCTGCTCAAGTGCAGCCACGAGAACCACTGAGTGGCCCTAAATGGCTCTTACACCCATAGGGCACCAGCCAAGAACAGCTTAACACAACAGATAATTGGTCAACAGTGAAGATGCAATGGTTATGACATAAAGGAGTAGTAGGCAAAGGAAGAAAAAAAATTCAATAAAAACAAAGTTCTGAAGAAGTGTTATGTTGGACTCACAATGTTAACTCCATTTTCTCTCTCCACACAGATGCTGTCAGACCTGCTGAGTTTCCCAAGCAATTTCTGTTTTTATTTAAGAAAAATTCCAACTGGGAAATATATTGGCATGCATCATTGCTTGGTCAAAATTCTGGAACATCCTATTTAACAGCATCATCGTAGAATCCCTACGGTGGGGAATCAGGCCATTTGGCCCATCAAGCCCACATCACCCTCCGAAGAGCATCCCAGACAGACCCACCCTCATACTCTATCCTTGTAACTCTGTATTTTCCATGGCTAATCCACTTAGCCTACACATCCCCAAATACAATGGGCAATTTAGCATGGCCAATCCAACTAACCTGCACGTCTTTGGACAGTGGGAGGAAACCCATGCAGACACAGGGAGAATGTGCAAACTGCACACAGATGTTTGGCTGAGGGTGGAATCAAACTCAGGTCTCTGATGCTGTGAGGCAGCAGTGCTAACCACTGAGTCACCATATGGAAGCACCTTCAGTACAGGGTCGACAATAGTTTGAGAAGAAAGTCCCCAGTCAATTTTTCAAGGAATGGGCATTAAATGCTGGCAGTAAATATTTGTTTCTCTTGATTGACCAGTTTCATTCTGTCATAGTCAACATCACCAAAAGTAGATTAACCAGTCATTGTTCTTACCATACGTATGTTTAGTCATGGCAACTGCCTTGTGTGGATGCTTTAAGAGGAGTGATCAGGTACTACATAAAGATAAACCTGCATTTACTCCTGACAAGTGTCAAATTTGGCTTAACAGTTAGCACACTTGCCTCTGACTTAGAAGGTTGTAGGTTCAGTTTCAGTTGAGAAGCTTGACCACATAAACTAGATTGATATTTCAATACTGCATTCCTTTGGAAGTGATGGTAAACCAAGTGCATGTCCTCTCAGAGATAGTAAGAATTGCCGATGCTGGAGTCAGAGATAACACAGTGTGGAGCTCGAGGAACACAGCAGGCCTGGCAGCATCAGTGGAGCAGGAAAGCTGACATTTCGGGTCGGGACCTGAAACATCAGCTTTTCTGCTCCTCTGATGCTGCCTGGCCTGCATGTCCTCTCAGATGGACATAAAAGAGGAAGTTGCACTTTTGGAAGAATTCTGCCTCATGTCCTAGTCAATATCTCTCCCTCACTAACAGTTTGTCAGCCATGATTGATTGCTCAAATCTCTATAGTAGCACATGAACCTACAACCTGGTCATTGCTTAACTGTGTACTGCTGGCTGCTCAGGTTTCCTGCATTAAAATGGGACTTCATAATAAAATACAGAAAAAGCTCAAGTTTCATCTTTGCTATCTCAGATCTATGCTCAGGATCTCTCAGCTGAAGTTCTGGAACATGCTACTCATTGCTAAACCAGGGACGTATGCACTGATTAGGCCATGTTCATTAGATGGCTGATGACCATATATATATAAGGACCTTCCCTGCAGTCAACTCACTGTCAGTTCACAGACTCCCAGGTGTCCATATATCCACTACAAGAACACCTGCAAGTGAGATATGACAATGACTGACATTGAAACGGAAGGGCAGACACATTGACACATTGATACTGGAAGGCAGTTGCAAATGACCATGACCTCTGGTCGATGACTTAATTGGAGGGGATTGGGAGAAGTGAGTAGAAACAAGAAGGGCAGCCAACCAAGAAAAGGGCTTGGGGTAAACTGAGACCAGCAAGTAACGCGGCTTCTTAGTTCATTGTCTTATGTTACAGCAAATGCAGAAGAGATGGCCATAGTGAGGTTCCTGAGCCACATCAGGTGGTCTTTAGCACAGTCAGCACAAGCCATCATCTTATGAGATGCAAGGCTACCACTGCATTTTTAATAAAACTTAATTGGCTGTAAGGTGATGGATAAATAGGATTGCCAATTCTACCTGAGCATGCACTTGTTGCCTCAGTTACACAATCTCCTGCCTTCAACCACTCGATGTAGTGAAATAGCCTTTTACATCACTTGTATAACCAATAAACTAAATTATTCATAGAAAATCAAAAAGAACCTATTTCTTTTAATATCTATATTATTGTTCTCTTGGGCTGCCTGACTGGGAGATTAATCATCATTTCCTGGAGCCTTGGCAATCCAATCTAAAGATGCAGGATTGTTATTTCTTCCTTAATAAAATCTATTCCTGCCTGAGCGGCGACGGCCAATACCATCTCATCTGTCCACCTGAAACTTCTTCACCTCCTGAGTAATCTTTTTAAAATTTCACCTCCACCGTACCCAAAAAATTGTGCAGTAATGTGGCCAACAAACACTCAATGACAACAAGGTGCAGGGCTGGATGAACACAGCAGGCCAAGCAGCATCATAGGAGCAGAAACACTCAATGAAGCTGCTTCCCTCAGGCTTTCCTTCTATTTTCCTGAATCCTAACCACATCATTCAAGAAAGATCTCCTTTATCCACACTGTTTTCTTTTGGAGACTTTGCTTTCAAAACTATATTTATAGAAGTACAAAGTTCAAAGTTGAAACTATAGAAGAACCCAGAACTAGAAGCAAAAGTTGACAATTCAGCCTCCTCCACCATTTAGCAAGATTATGGCTGATCTTATCGCTTCCTCACCTCCAGTTTGCTGCCCGCTCTCCATAACTTTACAACCTATTACTAAGTAAACATCTGTCCCTCTCCTCCTTAAAATTACTCAATCTTCCAGTACCCGCTGCACACTGGGCTAGTTTTTTTTATCAAGAAGGCATTGAAGTAGGTGGGCTGACCCCAGAGTTCGTCTGCTCTTGCCAGCTTTCTTTCTCTTTTTTCCTTTGGCTCTTTTTCTTTTCTTTTCTCTTCATTTCTGAGAGTGGAGGGTGAGGATGGAGGCTTCTGGTGGCAGCAGCAACACCAGGATGAGCCGGATGTGGCTCTACCCCATCTCAGGCTCTCCTGTGAGCAGGGTGCAGGTCCCGGGCTGACTCCTCCAGCCTGGACTCGCAGGCTAGGCTGAGGGTCCGGGTCCGCGGCTGGGCCTGGGCGCCTGAAGGAGGAGAGGTGGCGGTATTGGTACAACATGGTGGTCTCCCGGTGTGGTGGTCCTGTGCCAATGTGGAGGTCTCTTTCGCATGTAGAGGTCTTCTTTGTCTTCAGCTTCTAGGTGTTCCAGCTCCTGGCAGACGGGTTCATCCAGGGGTGGCAGTCTCGTCCTGGCGTGGCAGTCTCGTCCTGGCGTGGCAGTCTCAGCCTGGCATCGCAGACTTGGCCTGGCGTGGCAGTCTCGTCCAGGATTGGTGGTTGTGGCCTGGTGTGGGGGTCTCGGCCAGGAGTGGTGGTTGTGGCCTGGCGTGGGGGTCTTGGCCTGGCATAGTGGTCTCGGCCTGGCATGGTGGGCTTGAACTGTCATGGCAGTCTCAGCCTGGCACAGTGGTCTCGGCCTGGCGTGGTAGTCTCGTCCAGGGGTGGCGTTCTCGGCCTGGCGTGGTGGTCTCATCCAAGGTTAGTGGTCTTGGCCTGGCGTGGTGGTTGTGGCCTGGCGTGGGGGTCGTGGCCAGAAGTGGTGGCCTCGTCTAGGGTTGGAAATCTCGGCCTGGCGTGGTGGTCTCTGCCTGGCGTGGCCGTCTCGTCCATGGTGGTAGTCTTGGTCTGGCATGGCATGGCAGTATTGTCCCAGCTGCGACTTCAGAGTATTCCATTGCTTCTTAATTGGCATTCTCCGATCCCTGGAGCTGTTAACTGAACTGTGATCAAATTTGCCTTAATTTTACTTTTTTTTAATCACTGATGTAGGCGCCACGGTGGGGTGAGTTATAAAACTTTTCACTGTATTTTTCATGTAAAAGTACGCGTGGCAACTCATTTCTGTTCTATTCCTGCCAGCAGAAGAACAAATGTTAAGAATGATCGGATATATAATAACTGCCACCATTATTGTGTGACCTTCTCTCTTTAAAATGCTGAAAATCTGAAATAATAACAAGATAATTATGGGAATTCTCAGTGGGGATTGGGGATGGTGGGCCCAGGAGGCTTGGCTTACTGAGGGGGCGTGGTTCACCAATGAAGGGCTTTTGCGGGGTGGGGGGAACTCGAGGTGGGCGTGGCCCTCGAGGAGGCGGCGCTACGATGTGAGGGCGTAACAATCCTAGAGGCGGGGCTTGCGGAGGGGCGGGTCCTACTGGGTGCGGTTGTTCACCGAGGGGCGGAGCTAGTCAAAGGTCATCGTTTCCCCCCCCCTCGGAGGCGGGGATAGGCCTGGGGTCTTCGGGGTAAGGTCCAGCGCGGGTGGAGGGGACAGGACTGGGCTGCCTAGCTGTGTTCCTGTAGAGAGAGGGCCGGTGACGGGCTTTACTTGGTTGTTGTTCATATTTTGTCCTGTTTCTAATATTTGTTGTCGTGGTTCCATTTATAGATCAGTACTGGCACGGAGCGTTCAGGCGGTCCTTAGACAGCCTGGACTGGGGCCCTTCTTGGCGTCTGTTGCATAGCTGCAAGAAACAGAAGAATAGAGAGAGGAAGAGAGAGGGAGGGAGAAGGATAGAGGAATGGAGAGGAGCAGGGATAAAGAGAGGGAGGAATAGAGAGGGGGAGGGAGAGAGTGATAGATAGATAGAAAGAAAGAAAGAAAGAAAGAAAGAAAGAAAGAAAGAAAGAAGGAAGGAGAGAACTAGGTGGAGGACGAGAGATATAGATAGAGGGGAGAAAAAGAGAGAGCCAAGGGAGTGAGAGAGATAATAGAGGGAGGGAGAAATAGAAATAGAAGATAGGGTGAGAGAAAAAGAAGACAGAAAGATAAAAAGGGACAGAGAGTGAGAAACAAATAGAAGAGGAGAGAGAACAGAGGGGGAGGGCAGAGTAAGAAATAGAAAAGGAAAGAGACTGAGGGAGGGAGAAAGAAAGAGGCAGATAGTGGGGTACAGAAAAGAGAGTGTAAGGGAGAAAGGGACACGGAGGTTTTAACATAGAGAGGGAGAAGACAGTGGAATAGAAACAGAGAGGAATTTGGAGAAAGAATAGAGAAAGAGTGATAGAGACAGACACAGCTTCGTTATGTACACAGATTGGCATTAAAAGAAGCTGAGGGATAATCAGCAATGCGGTGGTGTCTAACATGGTTATATACATGGGTGGAGATATGAAGAGAAAAGGGGTATATATATTCTGGTAAACGTAGTAGAGAAAAACTGACATGCTGTGATTATTTTTATTTATAGTTTTATTGGAGTTAAGAAGGGCTGAGAAATAGACTCATGGACAGTAAGGTAAACTGGTAAAGGGAGTGAGGAGACAGGGTGATAAACAAAGGGGCACTTGTATTCAGAGTGAGAGTGGGACAGGAAAAGATATTGAGATGTAAAATAAGGTGCAGCAAGGTATACAATTAACAGCAATTGAGAACTATATAGAAGAAAGTGTGAGGTATAAAAATAACGCTGTTAAAAAGGGAAAATACACTTAGCAGAAACAAGTTCAATGAAATTTTAAAAGCTAGGTCTCTGTCCCTTGATTTAGATGGAGATAACTGAGCACCAGGGTGAATGAGGTACATGAAGCAGTGATAAAACTAGGACCCTTAGAGAGAAATTGACACTTGGTTGAGGCAGAGAGAGCATTCATTGATAACGACATCTGGGAGGAAAAAAAGTGTAAAATTTTAGTGTGAGAAGTTTGCTCAGAAAAACAAAGAAGCAGTGTCAGAGGCACAGAGAAACAAGACTTCTGTTAAGACACAAATACAGAGGGACAGAGTGAGAGAAAAACTAATTCAGGAACAAAATGCAGAAAGTGCAGGGTTAGCCAAAGCAATTGAACTTATTGTGACAGACAGGTGGATAGGAGGTGTCTGGATCATAGTACAGAAAGTGGAGTCTGAGATTAAGAGACTGACGCAGAGTCAGGATATAGAGGGACAGAAAATAATCAGGGGCAGGGGAAGATTTACAGAACTGGATACTGAGAGAGAAGTGGAAAGATTATGAAGAGGTGTTCAGCACTGAAGTAATCGGTCTATTTTAGGAATAAAACACTGGTTAGGAGTTTATATTGGGCTTAAGTTGGGGACAGGTTGGATTTGAGAACATTAAAGGAAAAGAGCAGTGACACAGGAGAGGATGTAAGGAAAAAGAGTGGGAGAATCAATAATTGTTTTGTGCAAATTATTAGGCATTGTAGAGGTAGAGTGGGAGTACTAGCGTGTATAGAGTGCTTGCAGGAGCAGCCGACACGCTCAGAGCCAGTAGTTAGTGGGGAATATTGAAGCCAGTCACTCGAAGTGGTGACATTTTTGGGAGCAATATGGCCACAAAGAGAAGCAGCCTCTCTGACTTGAACCAAGACAAGTACGATGGTGACGAGCACATCAAGATTATCTGTCTGGGAGACAGTGCTGTTGGGAAATCCAAGTGAGTAAAAAGTTTGAAGTGAGCACATGGTGGCAGAAATGTAAATGAAAAGAGGCAGATCACAACAAAACAATTGGGCGTTATTCGCTGCCCTCCTGTCTTGAAGCAGTAGCTCCTTGATATGGGACAGATTGTATCAACCCTCCAGTATTTCATCCAATTGACCTTCATGCCAGACGCCAGACAGCAAGGGCTGTTTGATCATAAGGGTTAGGGCATCATAAACCTGACCTGACCTGACCTGGTCTGTTGTCTGATAACAGACGTGCACTCACCCTGCCTATCAGGATTATTTTGATGATAAACAGAAGGGCAATCCGTTGCGTACTTTTCTCCCAGGGATTACTGATTGTAGGGTTGATACAATATGGATTATCTTATTTAGTGTGGGCACGGAATCTTGGATGGTCCTAGTCTCTTTGTATCTGTGCCACAGTAATCAAGCATTGTATATTCAGGGTACTTATCTGATCAAGATAGGAACTCCTGGAAATGACAAGTCACAATTACATAGAATGTACAGCATAATAACAGGCCATTCAGTGAATTAGGCTGTGCCTGTTTTCATGGACCATTTAAAAATTTTCCCAGGTTCTTCATCTAACCCTATCAAAATAGCCTTCCCTCTCTCCTGCAGGCCTCAATTTGTTTGATGTGACTGCTTCGTTCTGTACAATGCTGCTTTTGTAGCCTTCAGTCATCATGCATGATCAGAGCTGATAGGCTTGTTGGACAGGATGTTAAAGGGGAGGGAGAGCTGGAGAAGAGCAAGGAAGGTGTAGGAATGTTAAGTATATGTAGGTCCCACCTCTTTGAATGAAAAAATGTCCTTGGGTCTCTTGCTCTTGGCATGTGTGTTGGAGAAGAAGCTAGAATGAGCAGGGACAAGCCAGAAGTTTCCCTACGAAAATGGTTGGTTCTGATGTGAAGTCTTGGTTGAAGAATGAGACACTGTAATGCTGTGGTGAAACTAAATCTGACAGTCTATGTTTAAACCCCTTGTACATGAACCATGCTATGTTTCAGAGCCTTCTGACACTTGGAAATATGGATGGGTATGTTCTAGTACAATATGGGGTGAATAATTTGGAGGGAACAAAAGAAATGAAGGTAGATGTGAAGCAACTGTTGAACAAAGAGCAGCAAAAGAGGGCCTGGAGGTAGTCAGCATCAGAAGAGCATGTAAAAGAAAGACACAGAGGCAGATTGCTGGTAGCTTGGTTTTGGCTGTTACTGTGCTACGGGGAAGAAGCTAGCTGGTGAGCACCTGGTAAGTAATTAAAGTCTATTTTGATCCTAAGGTTTACAAGAGTACAAGAGCTGGTTGTAGGGTAAATAAAAAAAATAAAAAAGGGAATGAAATAATTGAATAAATTACTTAGTCAGCTTGAACACAATAAGGATTGGAGGCCAAGGTGATGTGTTATAGCTGCAGCATGTAGGAGCTCCTGGATGCGAGTGTGGTCCAGGGCTATTCCATGCGTGGTAAGTGTTTACAGCTCAAACCGTTTCTTTTTGGAGTTTGAGCTGAAGGCTGAACTACAGGCACTGTGACACATCAAGGAGGGAGACGGTTATCTGGATATGTTATACCTCGGAGATGGTCATGTTCCTTGCCATAGGCTCTTCTGATTTGGTCAGTATTCAAGAAAAGGAGGATGTGACTGCAAGTGAGGCAGGTGATGGTACCCAGCGAGTAGGAGAGTAGGTGCTTCAGCCTTTGCAGTTGTTCAACTGGTTTGAGGTCCTTTCTACTTTAGATAAGAGTGAGGGGTGCAAGGTGGATGAGCTATCTGATCATGGCACCGTGATACAAGTAGCTAATCAGGAATGGGAGCAAAACAGAATGTAGTGCTTGTAGGGAATAGTATAGTGAGAGGTATGGACAGTGTTCTGTGCAGTCAAGAGCGCAGATCTAGATGGCTAGATTGCTTATCTGGTGTCAGAGGTTGGGACATCTACTCAGGACTGGACAGGCAATTGCAATGGGAGGGGAGAAGGGTTCAGTTGTTGTGGTCAGTGTGAGTGTCAATGATATAAGCAAGACAAGGAAGGAGTTTCTGCATTGTCAGTATGAGGAATTGAACACCAAGTTGAACAGCAGAATTTCAAGGCTAATAATCTCTAGATTATTACCTTAGTCACAACAAAGAGACAGCAGACCAACTGAATACATACTTTAGCTCTGCCTTACAAAGGAAGACACACATAACATCCCAAAAATATAGGATGAGCATAGAGTCTCATGGAAAGGAGGAATTGAAAGAGAGTATTGTACCAATTAGTATTGGTAGGGAAACTCATGGGAATAAAGGCAGAATAATCACCAGGACCTGATAACCTTCATCCCAGAGTCCTTAGGGAAGTGGCCCTAGAAATAGAAGATACGTTATCTTCCAAAATTCTATAGATTTTGGAACAGTTCCTATGGATTGAAGGGTAACCTAAAGTAACCCCGCTATTTAAGAAATAAAAATACTTAAGGCAGTAATAAAACAGGGCATTATAGACCAGTCAGCTTGACACCAGTAGAGGGAATTGCTAAAGTCCATTATAAAAGGTGTAATAGCAGAGCACTTGGAAGATAGTGACAGGCTTTTTGAAGGGAAATAAGGAGCAGGTCTGAAGGGCTGAATGGCCTGCTCCTGTGTTCTATATTTGTATGCTTATGGTCAAGAGACCACAGTAACCCTGGGTGATTTTAATGCACATATTAACTGGAAAAATCAGAATGGCAGTGGTAGGTTGGATGAGGAGTTCATAGCAATTTTTGAGGATTTCTTAGAGCAGCATGTTCTGGAACCAACTAGAGAGTGGATTATTACTGTATTGTGTAATGCAACAAGGTTAATCAATAACTTCAGTAAAAGCATCCCTGGGTAACAACAACCGCAATATGATTGTATTTTACATCCAGTTTGAAAGGGAGAAGTGTAGGTCTAAGGCTAATATTTTAAAATTTGAATGAGTGAACCAATGTGTTAATTTTCCAAATTTGCTAGATTCTGTAAAAGTTCCATCAGATGGGAGAGTAACAATTATAACTGCTCTATTCAATAAGAGAGAGAGGCAGAAAACAGGAAATGATAGGCCAGTTAGTTTGATGTCTATAATGGGGAAATTGTTAGAATTGGTTGTTAAGGAGGTTGTGGTTGGGGACTTGGACGAGGTAATCAAGAGCAGTCAACATTGTTTCGAAAAAGGGAAATTATGTGAATTCTCTTGTGGGCAAGTCCAGAATTAGGGGACTTTTACTTATAAAGTAGGGTTACCCTTTTTCACTGAGAGAGTTGTGTGACCTTGGAATTCTCTCCCACAAAAGAGAGTGAAGGTGGAGTTTTAAATAGATTTAGGGCAGAGGTGGATTCTTGTTGGGCAGGGGTTCAAAGGTTATCAGGGGTAAATGGGATGTGGAATTCAAAACTGAAATAAATCAGCAATGATCTTATTGAATAGCAGGTTAGGCTCAAGGGACTGAATGGCCTATTTCTGCTTCCTGGTCATACGTTCTTAATTTGCTGTTTTGAAAGTTCCAAAGTCAATAGCCTCAAAGATACCATTGCCATCCAACAGCAATACAGGTGAAAGAAACCCAAAGAGTATGGTGTTGATTTTTGGGAGTCTTGGAGTTTCAGGGGATTTTACAGATGGGAGAATCATCCATAAGTGGGAAGCTATGAGGTGGTATTAAAGTCATTGCGGCAGTTAATCACTAAAGACCTGAAATTGCACTAACATGGTTTTGGTGATCTATGTTTGCAGGTTAATGGAAAGATTCCTGATGGACGGATAGTATCCTTTCTAAGCTCTCTAAGGGGCAACAAGGTCAGGCACCAAGGGATGGGAACCAAATTCTGATGGCTTGACCTCACCAGCTCTGATCGCCTGTCCCCACTGATTCTGATGACATTCTTTCCCTTACATAACCAGGTGAATCTATTTTATAGATTATAAATAAGATCTCCTGTAGGTAAAATGTCTTTTGATAGAAGTAACCTCATGATCATTGTAGTGGCTCATACTAGAGGAGGAGTGTCCAAAGGAAATAACTACTGTCTAACCCACAGCACCTTTTTTGTCACTTGCAGTGATTTTAAAATGGTTGAACTCAAAATAGTTAAGCGTACTTCACACACCGATATTTCCTTAACAGCCTTTTACCATCGTTTAGTAACCAAGACTCTTAACAATTAGATACCTGTATGTATTGCTTTTCATTTTACCAATAAATGTGCAGATAGGTTAAAAATTGCCATTAACTGGCCATTAGAGTATGAATATTGAGAATATAGTCCCAACAGTGGTATTTAATGGAAAAACAGAAATTACTGGAGAAATTCAGCAGGTCTGGCAGCATCTGTGGGGATGAAATGGAGTTTGTTTTGAGTCTATTGACCCTTCTTCAGAACAGATTGCAACTAGGAAAAAGTGGTATTTATGTTGAAGACTGGTGTTATGAGGGGAAGGAGAGTGGACAGGTGGAGGCAGAGACCAGACAGGGATATGAAAGGGGTAGGCAGACAGGGAATCTTGATAGTAAGCCAGGACAGAAAAGAAGCTGGATAACTGATAATACTAGCTAAGAGTGGGTGAGAGTGGATTGTCTGTGCTGAAAGCAGCCCATGTGATGATAGGATCAGGGTGTGGGGGTGGGTAAAAAAAGTTGGAAGGATGTAACCAAGCTGTAAAATCATTGAACTTGATGTTGAGTCTGAGATGTTGCAGGAACCTCGAGTGAAGGATGAGATGCTATTCTTTGAGCTTGCGCAGAGCCTCACTGGAACACTACAGCAGGCCTGAGACACAAATGTTGGCGTGGAAACACTGTGTTCTATTGAAGTGACAGGCAACGGGAAGCTTGGTCATTTTTACGGACAGAACTTTGTTCTTCTGCAAAGTGGTCACCCAATCTGTGTTTTCTCTCTCCAATGTCGAGGAGACCACATTGTGAGTGGTGAATACAATAGACTAGATTGAACGAAGTGCGGGTAACTCGCTTCTTCACCTGGAAGATGTGATTGGGCCCTTGGATAGTGAGGAAGGAGGAGGTAAATGGTCAGATGATTGCATGACAGTATGTGGGATTTTGGGCATGGAGGAGGAATGGACCAGAATGTCCTGGAGGAACAGTCCCTGTGAAATGCTGACAAGGTAGGGAAGGTGGAAATGGGTCTAGTGGTGGTATTCTGCTGGAGGTGATGTGAATGGCAGCTTACAATCCCTTTGATTTGGAATTTGGTGGGGTGGTAATTAGTACCCTTTTGTACTTAAACTTTACCTTTGCTAATGTTATGGGCCGAGTGACACAGTGCTTATTTTACTAAGGTAGTAATCTAGCGAATGATTTCAGATCCCAGTAAGCCAGGCTGCAAATTTGAATTCATTTAAAAATTCTGGAATTGACAAGTTGTTATAATTAAAGAACATCACTTATTTGTTAGATTGCAATAAGAGCCACCTTGTTCACCAGTGCCCTTTAATAAATAATCTAAACCTATTAATGTGAACCCAATCCCACACCAAAATGGGTTCACTCTTCAATACCTTCTGAAGTGCAGCTACTGATGGTTTAAGAAAGCAGCTCACCACCAATATTTCCAGGCAAGTGCCAGTGAGGTACACATCCCAAGAGTTAATTTAAAATAAGTGAAATTAGTGGCATCTATCTTTCCAATTAATCACTTGGGTAGCATACTGGATAACATTAACTCAACATTCTGCTGCCGTGTTGTGCTCATGAGCTTTATTGGGTCTGAATCAACCTCATAATGTTTTGCTTATAGTTTGGGTAGTCCCTTTAAGGCCATTGTTCAGTACTTGCTGTGGGAGGTGCTCTAAGTAGGTTCATCCAGATAATTGTAGCTATTCGTGAACCCCTGAAGTCAATTTCAGCATTTGTAGCTGTTTGTAATGTTTTGCATGAAATTTGGGAATGCTTGTCAAAACAGGCAACATCTTTGGAACAAGGAAATAAGTCAGAATTTCAATAAAATGAGCACCCAACGCTGCTGACCTGACAGCATTTTCTGCTTTAATTTCAATTTTCTAACATCTGCAGTATGGTTTGACATAAGTTTGTTTTTTGAGAAAAATAGAAATTAATTTCATGTTTCTTTTTTCAATTTGTTTTTGCCATTCTTTTCTCCTGTTAAGTGCTACCTCTTTGATTAAACTTTTGGCCATCTGCCCTAAAATCCACATTTGTGACTCAACGTCAAATTTTGCTTGACTACATTCTTGTGAAGTACATTGAAACTCTACTACATTGAAGGGTTATATAAATACAAAAATATATAAAAGTTAAAGTTCGTAATTGGAGTAAGGCCGATTTTTAATGGTGAGACAAGAACTTTCAAAACTTAATTGGAGTAGATGGTTTGCAGGTAAAAAGATGACTGTCAAGTGGGAGGCTTTCAAAAGTGTGACAACGAGCTCGGAGGCATTATGTTCCTGTTAGAGTGAACGGTAAGGCTGGGGAACAATGGATGAAGAAAGATATTGAGGTTCTAGTCAAGAATAAAAAAAAAATCATATTAGATATAGACAACTGGTTTCAAATGTATCTCATGACGAGTATAAAGAGTGCACGGACATTCTTAAGAGGGAGATAAGGAGGGCAAAGAGGCGATGTGAGAAAGCGTTGGAGATAAGGTTGAAGATAATCCATAGAGATTCTACAAGTACGTTAACAGCAAAACAGCAACTAGAGACAGTAGGATCTCTAAAAGATCAACGAGGTCATCTTTGTGTTGAACCTCAGGAGATGGGAGAGATATTAAATGAATATTTTGTGTCAGTTTTTACTGTGGAGAAAGAAATGGAGCCTAGAGAACTCGGGGAAATAAGTACTGGTGTTTTGAAAACAGTACACATTACAGGAAAGGAAGTGCTAGAGGTCTTAAAAAACGTAAAGGTGGATAAATCTCTGGGACCTGATCAAGTGTATCTCAGGACATTGTAGGAAGTTAGGGAGGAAATTGCAGGGCCCCTAGCAGAAATATTTGTATCCTCTATAACCGTAGGTGAGGTGCCGGAGGACTGGAGGGTGGCTAATGTTGTGTCTTTATTTAAGAAAGTCTGTAAGGAGAAATCTGGGAACTATTCACCAGTGAATCTGATCTCTAAAGTGGGTAAGTTGTTGGAGGTGATTCTGAAAGGATTTAATATATTTGGAGAGGCAAAGAATGATTATGAATGGTCAGCATGGTTTTGTGTGAGGGAAATCGTGTCTCACAGACTTGATTGAGATTTTTGAGGAAGTAACCAAAAAGATTGATGAGTCCAGAGCAGTAGATGATGTTTACTTGGACTTCAGTAAAACATTTGATAAGGGTCTGCATGGTAAACCAATTAATAAAGTTAAATCACATAGGATTCAGGGTGAGCATGCCAATTGGATCTAAAATTAGCTTAACGGTAGGAGACGGAGGACGGTTGTTTTTTGGACTGGAGGCCTGTGACCAGTGGTGTTCCACAAGCATTGGTACTGGGTCCGTTTCTGTTTGTCATTTACATAAATGCTTTGGATGAGAATATAAGAGGCGTGGTTAGTAATTTGTGAATGACACCAAAATTGGTAGTATAGTGGACAGCGAAGAAGGTTAACTAAGATTACAAAGAGATCTTGATCAACAGCCGGAGAAGTGGCAGATGGAGTTTAATTTGTATAAATGTGAGGTATCACGTTTTGGTGAAACAAACAAGGAAAGAACTTGTAAAATTAATGGTAGGGCCCTGGATAGTGTTATAGAACAGAGAGACCTAGGGCTTCAGGTACACAATTCTTTGACATTTGCGTCATAGGAAGAAAGGGTGGTTAAGAAGGCGTTTAGCATGCTTGCTTTTATTACTCAGACCTTAGTACAGTAGTTGGGATGTCATGTTGAGATTTTACAGGACGCTGGTGAGGTCTCTTCTGGGGTAGTGTGTCCAGTTCTGGTTGCCCCGTTATAGGAACGATATTATTAAACTGGAGAGGATTCAGAAAAGATTTACCAGGATGTTGCCAGGAATGGGGGATTTGAGTTATAAGGAGAGGCTGGATAGGTTGGGACTATTTTCACTGGAGCGTAGGAAATTTAGTGGTGACCTTATAGATGTCCATAAATTCTTGAGGGGCATAAATTAGGTGAATAGCAAGGGTCCTTTCCAAAAGGTGGGGGTGTTCAAAACTAGGGAGCATATTTTTAAGGTGAGAGGAGAACGATTTAAAAAGGACATGGGGACAACTTTTTTTACACAGAGTGGTTAGTGTATGGAATGAACTGCCAGAGGAAGTGGTGGATGCAGGTAAAGTTACAACATTTAAAAAGCATTGGGTAAGTACATGAATAGGAAGGGTTTGGAGGGATATGGGCCAAACGCAGGCAGGTGTGACTAGTTTGGGAACATGGTTGGCGTGGACTAGTTGGACCGATGGTTGTGTTTCCATGCTGTATGACTTTATGACAGCTTGTTCTTTTGCTGCCATTATCACAAATGAATATAGTGGCATATGACAGAAATGTTAAATGTAAAACTTGGATAGCATTTTTGTTTATGCTGCGGGATTGTTTTGTGTTCTGTGCCAGTTTTCTATACCTTAACTCAGGTTGCAGTCGCCCCCAGCAGTTGTCCACTTATGCACTTACATTGTACAAGTACACCACCACTGTCAATGACAAGACTGTCCTAGTGGGTAAGTGTTACATTCTTAAATTATTCTTGGCCTACACAACACCAGAAGTAAAGGAGAGTGAGTCCCACCTATATAGGAAAACTCTCCCACTGAGGTTTCAATGCAACCTTAGTAATTACAGTCTAGTTAATTTTAACAACAATAATTGGTAATGTTTTAGAAATAATAAAAGAAACAATTTACAGGCACTTGGATAGGTTTGATTTAATTAGGGAAAGCCTGCATGGATTTGTAACAGGCAGCATGTGCTTGATTAATTGAACTTTTTGATGAAGTATTAGAGAAGATTGATGAAGGGAATGCAGTGGATATTTTCTGGATGGATTTTAAGAATGTTTGACAAAATACGTGCAAAAGCTTGGTTAATGAAAATGTGGCTAATGGAATATGAATGTCAAAATTAGATTGGATATAAAATTGCTTTAAAGGACAGAAAGCAGTATGCCGTGTTAAAGATTACTATTTTTGAGTTTGAAAAATAGCATGTTCAATTTCTGCAAGGGTCTGTGCTAGGTCCAAGATTTTGGAATTTCAAGTATTGGAATATTTAGATTTCAAAATTTGCCAATGATGTCAAACTTGGAAGAGTGACAAAGAGTAAGGATGATAATGAGTGAAAGGCTTATTGAATGAGAAGACAAACAGCAGAATGGTGCTGCATTTTGGGTGAAAGAATGAGGAAGAGGAAGATAGATTTAATGCCAGCTCTAAAGATTGTGGAGTGAAAGGGTTACATGGGGATTCATGTTAAATTAGCTGATGCTTGAAGGAGTACGGATTTATGGCTTTGGGCAAGAGATAAAGGTGACGTGAGGAAAAGCTTTATGTATTGAGTGGTAATGACCTGGAATAGTTGCCCATCAGGTTAATGGAAAATTTAAGAGATTTGTTGGCCCTTCGGTTAGAGTGGAAAAGTGGGACTAACTGGCTTGCTGTCATGACATGATTGGCCAAAGAAAGACCTTCTGTGCCGTGAATGGTGCTAACGATATTCTGAATTTGGTCCCTGGTTGCGTTCTCAAGTCATTAAAATTTTCATACAATGGATGGTTAATAGTCATGTTAAAGCCTGGCCCTTCAGGAGTTAAATTAAAAAAATCACCATTTGCAGAAAATAGTGGAAATCTGGGAATCTCTTACCCCCAATAGCCTGTGGATCCTGTGGGACAATTGAAGCTTTCCAGATAAAGATTGAGAATTTTGTTTGGTCAGAGGATCAGGGAATAGGTCTTCAAAATGTAGTTGAGGTAAAGATCAAATTGAAGGAAAAACAGAAAAGAAACATGAATGTCGTTTATATTGCACCTTTCACAACCTTAGAATGTCAGAAAACGCAACACATCAAATGAAATAATTTTGATATATTGCAAACTGAAAATGTGATAATTTTGCTTAAAACAGCAGTAGGGTAAATGACCAAATCATCAATTTTAATGAAAGTGGAATAAATTTTGGCTAGGGCATCAGAATTCCTCTGTTCTTTTTCAAAGTGTGCAGTGGGATCTTCTATATTGCTAACCTGAGGACAGATGGATCCACTCTTTAATACCTCACCTGAAAGACAGCATCTCTGATAGCGTATGGCTGCACGGTGGCTCAGTGGTTAGCATTGCTGCCTCACAGCACCAGAGACACAGGTTCGATTCCACCCTCTGGTGACTATCTGTGTGGAGTTTGCACATTTTCCCCATGTCTGCGTGGATTTCCTCCAGGTGCTCCAGTTTCCTCCCACAATGCAAAGATGTGCAGGCTAGGTGGATTGGCCATGCTAAATTGCCTGTAGTGTTCGGGTGTGTAGATTTTGTGGGTTATAGGGAGATGGGCCTGGGTGGGATGCTGTGAGGGTCGGTGTGGACCTGTTGGGCCGAAGGGCCTGTTTCCACAGTGTGGGGATTCTATGATCTAAGATAGTGCAGTGCTCCTCGGCACTGCACTGAAGGTTTTGGCTTAGGTTACATGCTGATGTCTTGAAAGCTTGAACACATTATGCTTTCACTCGCAACTGTGAATCTATCATTGAACAAAGGATGAAACCAAAGGAAGTGAGACACTCTGTGTCCTACTTACTTTCCTGTGGAAGGACATGATCCAAACTGTACCAAGGGATTAGGGCAGTAAGGTATGTTTTTGGCGAGGAGAAAGGATTGAAACACTTGAGAGAAAGTTATGGTCAAAAGTGGGTGAGGTTTAGGCATAGCAAAAATAACTTGTTGGCTTGGACCTCCTCAAATTTTAGTATTCACAATTTTTTTATGTGATTGAAATGGAGAAGTTGAAACTGTGGTGTTTCCTTTCACAGATTTCTGGGACACGGCGGGCCAGGAACGTTTTCAGAGTATGCACCCATCATATTACCATAAGGCACATGCTTGTATAATGGTGGGTCTTCATAAATTCTACTTTGGTATAAAATGTAAAAGGCCATTTCAAAAATAAAGTGCATAATCACTAACTGGTAGATTGAAATGTACCATCACATTATGCTCCAAAACCAACACAGAATGAGATTCATTTTACCCGATATAAAGTAAACGAATTAATCTGAATTGTGACGTAGAAATCTTAGTAAAGCCCAGGGACATCTGACACAAATTGGCAATGTCAACATTTGAGAATGTCTTACTTTGTTTTAAATCTGTGCAACCTACCAGCAAACTTCCCAGCCAGGCCCCACTCCTGTTTTTGCTGGCAGCATTACCTGGAGTTGGAGTGGAAGAATACTGTAACTCATTGCCACATGTGCCCTTCTGGGATTACTGATCACCAACAATATCCCAGAGTTTCACACATCTACCTGCCTCAATATCAAATCTGCTGCGAAAGTTGGCTTGATTAAAATCTTCCAATATCATTTGGCTCATGCTTGAGCTAGCCAGCTGTGATGAGACCTTTTCTGTTTTTCAGATAATGCCTTCCTAAAGCTTACAGTTTCTCATCAACTGGTCAATGAACTATAACTCTTAAAGAGGCTGTGGAACCTGTACTGAGCAGCCTGTAACATGTATGCCAATTGAACATTTGAAACACCAACATTCAGTGTTAAATACCAACTTTTCTATACTGTATATCTAATCCAGCATGTCATTGCTCTGGGAAATGTTTGATGTCATGGTGTAGAGGGAGATTTACTTCGTTTCACATCTACTGAGATCCAGAGAAAATCGGGCCAGATGGTATTAATTAGATGAAAACTAATTTCCTTTTTTAATTTTGAGATTAGGTATTTGACGTCCAGCGGAAGATAACTTACAAAAACCTTAATAACTGGTACACAGAGCTGAGGGAGTCTCGGCCAGAAATTCCATGTGTGGTTGTTGCTAACAAAATAGACGGTGAGTTTGAAGATTATTCACCTGGCAGTGTGGGAAGCCAGTGACTTTTGTCTGCTCTTTAATCTCCATATGACATTTTAAATGAATGAGACAGGAGATCGTAAGTAGATGCTAATGAGGAAGATCATTCAGCTCATCTATTACGAAGAATTTCCCACTTTGTTATCGTATTTAGCTGTTAAAGATTTTGGGAATTTCACCGTAGAACTTTAAGTGTAAGTCTACTTCACTGTTTCTGCAAAGAATTTCTTGGATGTTCTTCATGTGTTTGTGGGATTTTGTTTTCAACATATTGGGTTACTAGTCTTGACTACCTAATCTTCCAAAACACCTCATCACATGTGAAATATTTTGGAGTGATTCAAAAAGGAGTAAGAATGAATGAAAATGTCTGGGTATGTGCTCAGTCAAGAGGGGACACAGGAGTCCAGGTGTGATTGTTTTAAAATCCTTAATTCATGGGATGTTGCTGTCACTGGCTAGGACAGCATTTGTGACCCATCTTGAACTGCTCTTGAGAAAATGGTAGTGAGCTGCTTTCTTGAACTGCTGCAATTACTAAAGTGTAGGGACACCCACAATGCTGTTAGGGAGGGAGTTCCAGGACTTGGACCCAGTGACAGTTAAAGAATTGCGACATAGTTCCAAACCAGGATGATCTGTGGCCTGGAGGGGTGCTTTCAAGTCATGGTATTCACATGCATCCACTGCCATTATCCTAGGTGGCAGAGGTCATGGGTTTGGAAGATTCAGTCAAAGGAGCCTCGGTGAGTTGCTGCATTGCACCTTGTAGGTGCAATCACCTAGATGTTGACAGCAAAGGGAGTGAATGGTGAACATAGTGGATGTGGTGCCAACCAAACAGGCTGCTTTGTTCTGAATGCTGCTGAGCTTCTTGAGTGTTGTTGGATCTGTGCTGGTCCAGGCATGTGGTGAGTATCCTATCTCACATTGGACTTGTGCTTTGTAGATAGTGGACTGACGTTGAGGAGAAAGGAGGATGTAAAAACATTATTTCCGACTAAGATAATTACTTATTTCCTCCCTTCTCCATCCTCAGCCACCCACCATACCCATTGTTTAATTCTCTGTAAACTTGATGAGCCTAAAGTAACCCAGTCATGCCATACTGAAATGGCATGATCAAGCTATTGGGGGTCTCAGATCACTCCTCTCCACAGTGAGGTGGCAGCCATCATACTGGTACTGAGAACACCCATTCATTGTAACTGATAAGAATCCAGCTGTGTTTCACTGAGCTCACTTCCCTGGGGCTTTTGTTGGGAAGTAGAGATGAGAAGCATTGTCAGTAGGGGACAGACAGCAGGTAGAGAGAACGGAGAGGCGGAGGGGAAAGCAATCAATGCGTGTTGGGGCAGGAGATGGAATATGAGGGATCAAGCACCCTTTTTTTGGTTAAGCCATGCCCAGGCATAGCATTACTGCAAGCCAGCACAGTGACTGGTGACACAGTACTGAATGAACTACTTGCTGCTCTCTGTCTTTCAGCTGATCTGAAAATCACACAAAAAAGCTTCAACTTCGCCAAGAAACAGGGGCTACCCTTTTATTTTGTGTCAGCAGCGGATGGCACCAATGTTGTCAAGGTAGGTGTGGTGGATACACAGAGGCCAATACAGGGCGATTTCATTCGTGTAACTGAAGCAACTTCTCACAATTTCAGTTTTTGCTTCAGACCCCATGGGTAGTATTTGAACAGTCCTGGTCTCTACTATAGAAAAGAGGCACTGGTGTAAATGCAAAAAAAAGTTAGGAAGATTTTAGTAAAGCTAAGAGGTTATGCTTATCTGAGATTATTGAAAAGTCTGAAGCTTCTTTCTTTAGAAAGAAGACTGAGGGCAGGCCGGAATTGAGGTCTTTAAGATTATTACAGTTTGATTAGGTAATTGCAGAAATAATTTTTCCACCTGTGGACCAGACCAAAACTTGGGGCTGTGACTGGAAGATCCATAAATATAATGTGATCAGTATCTTGGCATGGTTTTTGGAATCTTGTGTGTACATAATTGTTGTCATTTTGGCAATATTGTTACGGTGGCTATGTTTCCAAACTTCTTCTTTAACTCTAAAGCACTGTGGTGCCCAGGATTGTGAAAAGTGCTATAAAAATGCAAAATTTTGCTTTCCTTAAATACCATCACCTGGATCTTCACCCTTTTCTGTTCCTTTTTCTCCAGATGTTTCGGGACACGATAAAGTTAGCGGTGTCATACAAACAGAACACTAATGATTTCATGGATGAAGTCATGCGGGAACTGGAGGTGAGTCTTCAGTTGCTGGTGTAGGTGTGAATTCCCCTGTGGAATCTCCATAGCATCTTCAGCCTCAGGAATTAACTGGAGTAGACCTGCTGCCTTGTGCCAGATTCACTGCTTTCTCTGCTCATGTTCCACAGGCAGTGACTCTAGCTGGAGTCCAAGGGACAGGTCAGCAGGTCCTCACCCCAGATGTGATTGTGGTCAAGCTCGTTTCTGTCTTCCATGGATTTGTAGTTTTTAGTAGGGGCCACTGGGCAACGATTAATACAAATAAAGCAAAAGAAACTCGTATTGCTAAAAACAGGCAACGACTTTGTGCGACAACCTCACCGTCTCCTCTTGACATTCATTATCATTGCTGAATCCTTAACTATCAACATTCTGGGGATTACCATTGACTGGTAACATAGCTGGTAACATATGAATACTTTGACTAAAAGAGAGGTCAAACACTGTGCATTCTGTGGCAAGTAATTCACCTCCTGACTCCGCAAAGTTGTTTACTTTGTACAAGACACATTCTGCATGGTGCACTTCCAGCACCAGTCAGGAAGATCAACACCATTCAGAACAAAGCTGCCTGCTTGATTGGCACCCCATCGCCCACCGTAACCATTCAATCCCTCCACCTTTGTGTGCCATATACAACATGTAGTGCAGCAACTCATCAAGGCTCCCCAACAGCACCTTCCAAGCTTTTGACCTCTGCCATTTAATGGGACAAAGGCAGCAGATGTATGTGTACACTCCCACCTGTAAGTTCCTCTCCTGTCCTACAACCACGTAGCCTTTCCTTCACTATGTGCTTGCACCTGTTACAACCCACTTGGTAAAATTTGCTGATACCCAAGCCCCACTGCCCTCCTGCTTGTTACAAAAGTTAAAGGTCTAACCACCTAACTCAAAATCCCGAAATTTCCTGTATGATCAGGTTAACAGACTACACTGACCAAGTTTCTGTGTTTAACAAGAAACTGCAATTTATTTAAAATAAATCCGCTCTAACCACAGGCAAACAAAATATGAATTATCAACTGATAACTCTCTAACTTAAACCTTACCCCTTCTTAAACCTCTACACATATGCAGATGGACGTAATGAAACAAAAGAACTGTTATTAGTGAAGGAAAAATGTTACTGGTGGAGGAAAAATAAAGGGGGAACATGGTTGAATAGCATGAATCCACAGGCTACAGTGAGGTGTCCTTTTGCTTTTTCCATGTCCTTCTGATCTTATCTCCAAGATCAGTTCTTTCCTGTAGATACTGGTCAGTCAGTACACTAATCTTTCAGTCTATCAGTCACTTGTTAAGGACAGCAACTTGTAGGCAAATGGTGGGTGAGAATAGCTAGCTATCTTCCAATTCTTTTTTGCTTCTCTGCAAGGAGAGACAGAAATGCTACCTTTTTAGGATCTGAAGGCTTTCTGCCCCGGTATTGATATGCAGGCTGTCCCCATATCTAGAAGCCAGTCAGAGAGTTGTTGTCATGCTGACCACTCCTGACTCTCTCAACTGCTCCTGATTGAAAAAGTATTCAACAGGCTGTCTGAGTAAAACTGCCCTGAATACATGCACATCCAATACTGATGAGTCCAGCAATCCTCCCCATTGTATGAACAAAGTTGTGAAACTCTAACTCACAGTGAGTTCCAATAACTTTGTTTTTAAAAGTGCAGCATCTCTTTTTGCAGTTTAAAAAGAGTTTAAAACAGTATCTTTTGGTTCACAGTCCTTAAAGGAAAAATAAAGAGATACAGTCTTTAAACACAACCCAATTCAAGAAGACTTCTCAAGGGCAATTAGATGGCCAACAAATGTTGGCCTAGCCAACCAGGCCCACATCCTATAAAAGAAAAAAAAATCCGAATTATGGCTGCTTTGTCATTATGAATTAGTGATAAAAGAACAGGTTATTGGGTCTGGTGTAAGTTCTTCATTACACCTGAATGTCAAAGTGCATGGTGGTCTTTAGAATGAACTAAAGGACAAGCTTGGCTGGGAGGGGACAGGGTTGTGGTGGTAATGAGAAAGAAGAACATTTTGTGCATAGAATGTTTTTTTTGTTAAGAGATAACCGGGAATGATAGGGAAAGATCATTTCAACAAGACAATGAAAGATGATGATGATGAAAGTAAGATGATGGAAAATGGAGAGGAGAATCTAGAATCCCATGCAACTATGAGATAAGGTTTGATGCCACTGTGGATCCTGCAGCCAGCACGGGTTCCTCTTAAAATACTAGCTGGCTCAGAGTGAAAGGGCCAACTGTTCCACCTAGCTTCCATTACCTTTCAGAGAATGAAAGGCAGGCTAAAGTGTGAAGTCACTGTTACTGTTAAACATTGACAGAATTGGCAGAGACAGAGTCAACACTATTCCTGAGACCTGCATTAAGTTTCGTTTGAACAGTGTGGGAAGCCGCAGGCAGGAGAGACTTGGTGAGAACTAGTTGATTTTTCTCTAACCCAGTGACACTAATCTAGTACTTCATCTTCACTGTTGGCCCAGTTGCAGTCAGTCATCTGGTGCAGACTAGCTCTGTTTTTTGGATTTTCCCAGTCAGAGTGTCTCACCAACACACCATTGATTAAAGCCTTGACCTAAGTTATGAAGGAAGACCCTAAAGCAATAGTGACCATCTATCGAAGCTATTTACCATCTCCAAAGTTTTGTAACCTCCTAACTTTGTAAACGGCATAATGTAACAGCCCCACCTCCTCGTCGGTCCACTTCATACTGAAGTGGATTGGTTCCCCTAAACTCTGAACTATTTATGGGGTGATGGAGATCAGTTTTCTGGGGTGCAGTGTGAGAAGAGGGAAGGTTTAGTAATGCGTCATGCCTTCTGGAGTTTGGATTATCCAGTGAGGTTCGAGTGGGGGCCTCTGCTAGTTGTCTTTGTCTCATTGTTTGTGCTGTGTTTGGGCTCATGTTCTGCGAACTGATTGAATGAAAAGCAGGTTCTTGTCACCATTACACCTTCACCCTGTCTGCTCACTCTTCTTTCTTTGAGTTTCTCTCCTCATTCTCCCGCAGGGTGTTCTTACAGCAGAGGGAAGTAGGGTTTTCTTGGAAATGACAATAGTCTTCCAGCATCCCTTCATACTGTGTTCCCAGATCTTCATTTACTGGTCAAGACAGCTGTTTGACAGCAGGGGGTGCTGCTCACATTCTCACCTGGCATTCACAAACCCACAGATACCAGCATGGAGTCTCGGGGCAGACCTGAGGGAGGGAATAAAACAGAAGTTGCTGGAAAAGCTCAGCAGGTCTGGCAGTATCTGTGTAGAAAACTGAGTTAACATTTCTAGTCCGATGACCCTTCCTCAGAATCGGAGAATCCTGACTGACTACACCCATGTCTAGCCCCAAGCTCAGGGCATTGAGGATAATTGTAGCAATAGATGATGCTTTGACTGAGATTAGTTAATCGAGCACAGATGGTTTTTTTATCCTTTCTGAAAGTTTGCATTTACTAAACCTCATTTGCAAGATGATTGCTGGAAGAGTGGATCTCATTCTGAGCTCAGTGAGGCACAGAATAGATGTCAGCGTGTGAGATTAAACTGCTCTCTGCAATTTCTGTTCCAGCCGTGACAAGGCCTTGGCTTGTTACATAAAGTATTAGCTAGGGTGGGATGGAAGTGGGGCTGCTTTACATTGTGAAAGGGCCTAACCAAGGCAGTAGGAGCCACTTTTGAAAGAGAATGTGTCACCTCTCTCTAGCCTTGCCATTCCATCAGTTTAAAGAGAAAACTACAAGATTCTCTGTGCCGCCCTGCGCTCTATCTGAATGAATGATACGTGCCACACTCTGCCTCAGTCTGTGGCCTCTACTCACTCCCCACACCCCAGCACACTGTCTCTTTGTATTCCCCGCCAGCATCTCTACCTTTCTGTTTGTGTGCATGATCCCCTCACATGTGTTGTTTGCTTTGTCACCCTCTCTGTCAGTTTTGTATGATGTGTTGTTTGCTCAAATTACCCCCTCTCCACTCATATCTCACTGCCGCCAGCCTTTAGTTAACCAGTACTCTGCTAATTCTCCATCAGCGTTGTACTGCAGTTTCAGTACTGTCTGGTAGGTGGTACTGTTGTACAGCAATGAGATGAACGGACTCATCAGTTACCCAGTGTTATACCCAGTTGCTGAAAAGTAAATCCATAAATGCTGCTGCACCCTCCAAAATTCTACCAACACACTGGTCATTGGCGATGAGAATGCTATCTCACAGCATGCAGCTAAGTACACATTGTGGAATTTGTTTTTATCCTGCTCTGGGAGCCTGTCTCTCTATCTGTCCTGCAGCACCACCCTCTCTGTCTATCTGTCCTGCTCCCCAGGTGCCTGGCTCTCTGTCCATCCTGCTCCAGGTGCCTGGCTCTC